TGGCGAGGCTGTGCTGATGCTTCCTTAACTGACAAAAGGAGGCTTTGTCCAACACCAGAATTGTTGAAACTGATGCGGTTATCTGTTGCACTGGGATTCTGGTGAGCAGGGGTCGGTGTTTTTCCCTCCCTGGCATCATAAACACCATGGCTGTCTCCTGACGTGTAGTCACAGCCCTTTTGTGATACATTACTTAGACACATGGTTGCAGTAACCTTTCTATCTCCCCCAAAAAAAGCAAGGAAAAACAGAGGAAAGCTCAAAGTTTACCCTACTTGCAGAATATTTAGACAACACTGATTTGCCATTAATTCTGCAAGTACTCGCCTTATTCAGGCTTGGCAGAAACAGGTTCCTGTGTTCAGGGCAGATATCGAGTCTCTCTCACAGTGAACGGGCACATCTTAGATTCTGATTATTACCAGAGTGCCCATTAGAGCCCACCATACTCAGGATGGAGAAAGATAGCAATGGCTTTTTTTAAATTAAAATTTGTTTTTGGTTTATAAATTGCAGCCCTTGGGGAAACAACAGTGAGATCATGCCATTCTTTTGGACCAGGACTGTGTGTGAGTGAGTGAGTGAATGTGTGTGTGTGTGTGTGTGTGTGTGTGTGTGTGAGAGAGAGAGAGAGAGAGAGAGGAGAGAGAGAGAGAGAGAGAGAGAAAGAAAGAGGACTAGCAGGAGTCGGCCACGTTAGGTTTTCTGGTCGCCTCTCAGAACAGTGCAGCCCATGAAAGAGGAGTCTTGATTTTTCTCATGGTAAACATAACAGGATGGAAAAGTTACTGAATTGACTGTTTTATTTTTACAAGTGTCTGCTGCCCCATCTGCCCTGTGAGGAGAGGGTTTTCTCACTGCTGAGCCTGAGCTGAGGCCATCTGGAGGGATCAGAGAGTGTGGGAGTATCACCCTGCTAAGGCTGAGCAAGGCCTAGAAGGTGGCTTCGCCACAGGATTTCCGCCCTCTGCATTGCGTTGCCAGTGCTGTGGAAAGTGAGGCACTGGAGGCCTTGCTTCCCGCAGCCTCTGGGGAACAGGGTGGGTCACTGCCCTCTGAGAGTGTTTGCAGTTTTTTGTACACTGTTGCTACATAGTCAAGTTCCTTCATGGCAGAGAAATATTTTCTGTTTCAGTGTTAGGAGTCAGCCCATGTAAAGTCTCTTAGACTTGCTTAGAAGAAAAAAAAAGTCACCTTTTGTTTTTAGAATTCTAGGAGGAAGAAGTTCCCCATAGAACCATGCTTCCTCCTTCTCCTTCCCCTTTGTCTTCTCCACGCACAGTGCTTATTGGGGGCTTCTTCTAACCCTCCTCAACAGAGGGGAGTAGTCGGTCTTCTGATGGACATGGATGTGCGTCTCATACCTTGTACTTAACATATTTGTCATTTCCATCTAGTGCTGTGTTAATATCTTTGTTGATCTCCCCACCTGATCTTTTTTTTTAAACAGCTTAGCCTGAGCCGTATTTTTGTTCATTTACAAAAAGGATTTAATAACCACAATGTGATTTTTGCCACAACTGTATGATTTTTAATATTTCTGAAGTGTTCTCTAAGCCCATCCTAGTTGAGAGTGGATTTAGCGTTAGAAGAAATACCTGGAGAAATCTCCACAGTGGGATGAATTTTTGCTTAAAGAGAAATGAGAGTTGATAATATAACTCTATATCCTGGTCCCACCTGCATTTCACATCTGCATCTTTACAAAAAATAGGAGACATGCAGGATAGTCAACTCAAGCATTTCTAGGGAGAGGAGATTGTTTAATGGTGATGAAATAATGCAGATGGCTCTTTGAGTTCTTATTCTTGAAAACTCTAAAAGAAGTCAGACCTGAGGCTGTGCAGTTTATACTGCCCAGTTGGGGTGGCAGTCGTTTCTTCTGAGCACTGCTGGGATGGAATCTATTTCCCCAAGGCTCTGCAGCTGTCAACCTTAATGGCGTCAGCCTTGCTCCATCAGGGCACCCCCCCCCACTTGGGGTAGGTGGGAAAGCACCCCAGAGTCAGCCTGTGCACTCTGGGGTGAGCTTGCAACAGAGACCACACCATCCAGAAGAGCTGTGTATTCCACGTCACCTGACATGTCACCTAAAGCAGTAAGACATTTGAGATTTTCAAGTACATTGTGAATTGCTAAGTACTGCTATCTATAGAATATACTACATCAGGTTGACTTGAGGTCATCACAGGCCCTGGGAACCTACTTTTAGGCAGACTCTCCTTTGGAAGCCAGGAGCCTTCCACTCCTGTCTCTGAAAAGGCAGCTTCACACTTCGACAATGTTTTTGCATTAGCTTGATAACCTTTCAGGGATGGGTGAAGCCTAATCGGGACATTTAAAAAAATGATATCTCTCACCTTCAGAGTAATCCAATAGTTTGTCCTCCTAACCCCCTTAAAAATTAATAACTAAAAAGAGAAATAAAGAATCCCGTTTGGTGTTGATTCTAACAGACTCCTTGAGCTGAGGCTGGCAGTCACGTGATTTGATTTTGTGTGTCTGCTACATGAAGCTTTTGAAGTGAAAAGGGCATGTCTCTCCCCTAAATCTTTGTTGATAGTGATGATCTGTGAGCCTGAGCTTGTCCTAGAAAATGAGACTGTCCACCTGGCAAGGGGAGCGCAAAGAAAAGCCTCCTTAACTCAGAATTGAGCACAGCAGGAGGGCCTCTGCGGAAGAAGGAAGTGCTTTTGGCTGAAAAAGCAAGATTAATATCTAGAAGGTGGCGAGTCATTGCTTCTGTTCCTGCAGCAATTAGGTTGTTGAATTAAATAGGTTTCCTTCAGTTTGCATTCTGAGTTCTTAACCCCAAACAGGGGCCACTAGAACAGCAAAAAAAGGCATTTAACCCCCTGGAGATAGGCTTTAAAAGATACAAAAGCAGCAGCCTTGTCATTTTCCAGGTTCATCACCATTTTGATGTGCTACCCGCTCTTCCACCCCCACTGCAGCCAGGCCAGATGTGAAGGTTCTATAAATATTTGAGTTGGGGAACATAAATTCTGGTTCTGGAACAATTACCTACTAAATTGCTCACCATCTGTGGACGTTATCCATGGGATGTGCCTTTCAGGGAGCGTTTCAACAATACAGTAAAATCACTCTTCTGGGCTTGAGGCCCCAATCAGGCATTAGGATCAAAATCTTAAGTCTTTGGAACTTCTCAGGAAGAAAGCAAGATACCCATTCCCGATGCTGGGCCTTGAGACTGGACTCCCTGTCTGTACAGTGGGGTGGAGTGGCTCACCTTCAGGGAGTCATTTCTCCAGTAATACTGGAAGTATTACTGATACGAGACTGGCTTTCTGGAAGTAATACTGATACGAGCCTGGCTTTCTGAACACTTTTGTGCTGAATTGAAAATGTTAACCTAAAGCAATAGATCCATGTAGCCTCTTCTACCTCATTACTGTCCCATTGGAAAAAAACAGCATTTCAGTGTTAAGGCTTGGTCTTAACATAATAGATATGACTTATGCCAGGGAAGATAGAGGCTGATTATGGAGACATCCACAACCGGAACAGATAGGCCTGCTCCACGGAAGTCCTCCACGGGGGCAGGTTGAAGTTAGGTCTTGGAGAGCTTCCAAAGCACTGGGGGGAGGGGAGGACTTCAAGGGCCTTCGCTCAGCCAGCAGGCGGCCTGTGCTCCTCCCGAGGACATGAAGGATTCGGAGGGAGCTGCAGGCACCTAAGCCACGGTGCGCAGACACAAACCTGCCCTTTTGCCTCCTCCCACGTGACTGAGAGCATTTTTTGCTCAGAATCCAAAAGGATTCTGTCCTCCAAAATCCAGTTTGCTTCAGGTGTTTTGTTTCGCCTCTGAGAACCTCACCCTTGCACTCACCCGTTCATGGACGTAGATGTGCTGCTCAGGGCACAGATTCACGAGGGAGTCCAGGGCCCAGCAGTTGCACAGTGTTGCATTTTGTAGTTAGAAAAACAGTTGGTCCACTCTATTATAAAAGAGACACAGTGTGGGGTGCAGTTTTACAAATGTCAGGTCCGTTTTTATTGTCTCATGGTCTGAAAACATTCAAACTGATTTATAATTGAAGAAAAAGTTGGTTAAAATGAATAAAATGTCAGTTAGTGCATCTATCTTAAAGATAACTACCAGTGTACACCATGTGTTTAAGGAAGTAGGAGCATTTGAGGATGTTGTAAAAGTAAAGCAGGTATCTCTGGCCTACCCAGGTGTTTCAGAGGGAGGATGTGGAAGCCTATTAGTAGCATCTTTATATTTGATTTTGTATAAAGAGGCCAGTCTTTATTTCAAGGACCTTTTTCCCACCTACTCAATCACCTTGGTAGGGGATGGGCTCTAAGGAAGAAGCAGTGAGGCCCCAGCTCTGTTTGCTGAGCTACAGGGTATGATCTCCAAACAGCATGAGGCGTATTTGAGGGGTTTCCTAACTCTGCTCACCTCCACTCCACTCATCTACCATCAGCACCAGAAGGGTTAAACTCCCTGGGACCATTCCAGTTCTGAAACAGATGAACTAGAGGTGCTTCCGAACCCTGTCTTCACAAGTGTATCGCACAGGTGCAGTCTCCCTTTGGCCAAGTTCAACAGGTGTTTCCAGGGAACCCTTTGGATGGAGATAAAGTAGCCAAGATATATTGAGTTTAACTTTTTCTGAAGGACAAAGTCTTTGTCCCTTTCCCCTCATGTTTTAGCTGAGACCTAAATGACAAAGTCTCCAGAACTGAAGACAGAGAGCCAGGGGCCCATGTACCCAGGGACCAGTCCCCTGGGGATCACAGAGACTCAAACCAGACTATTCTGATTCCACCAGAACTCCACTGCTGTCCCCTTCCATCAGGACCACCCAGAAAAGCAAACAACTTAGCCTTTCCACCCCTAGGTCACCTGGCTCCTTGGTGACCATTCTGCAGAGTGAGAATGGATCACCTGTTTAGGCAGTGTGCTGTATATTTGTAGAAAGCGTAAAAAGTGGAGTGGCCAATGGGCTGAGTACTCATCCTTGGAGAGGGTAGCAGAATAACCCCAGATGAGCTCAACAAAACCCCAGGGAATCCAAGGAAAGGCACTTGTGTGGGAGGAGGGGTTGGTTATGGTCCCTTAACCTCTTGGGACCTTTCACAACTGGGGTTTGGAATAACGTCGCCCTTACCCCTATCCAAATGTGCTCCAGGACGTAGGAGCTCCTGACCCAGGGGTGCATGGTCTTGTTTTCCATTTTTTCGTTTGCAAAACAACCTTGCTTGGTATTGTATGGAAAAGCGAGTTTTCCTCCCTGCCCACCTGGAGCTGCCTGCCCAGGCCTGGCTTCTTCCCCAGTCTCTCAGTGCTCTTAGGAGCTGAGGGGAGCAGAATGGGTCCAGAGGAGGTGGAAGGAAACTGAGTTTTCCTGCACCCTTTCTCTAGGAGGCTGTTCTTAGGCTTCCTTCATACCTCTCTTTCCCGTGGGGGCAGGCAGGTTGTGGGGGAGGGCTGAAAAGAAAGTTCAGGTTTGGGTCTGAGACAGGTGCACAGCAGATGCAAGTCCCCCTTTTCCCCCTTTAATAGCCAGCCAGCCAGCCGTGTGTGACCATCCCCTTACTAAAGCATCCCCTCATGTGTGCCGGCTGCAGAGGACAGCAAAGCCCTCCCCCATAGTCTAGCTGGAGCTCTGGTACTATCCCTAGAATCCCACCACCCCTATATCTGACTCCTTTTTGTAAAAACATGCTTAAACCTGTGAGTGTGCTGTTCCTTTCTGTGTGCCCATCAGCTTCTTTCCCCTCGAGCTGTGTGGGAGGGAGGGCATTGGAACTGTAGGCTGTAATATTGTGCCAACCAATAAAAACCAGTATTTCACACGCATCCCTGCTTAGTCTCTGGTTTCTTTCTAAAAGTTTTCTTCGAGTCCTTCTCATCAGTCTTCTTTTGATTTTACCACCACCCTCTGCTGGACTCTTGAGAGTTGCCCCAGAGGTCAGAGGTGGCCGCATGGAAGATTTGCTGTTCGGGGAATTCAAGTAAGGAATGAAGTGAAGCCCAGGAAGGTAGTGAGAGTCAGTGCCAGGGACCCCCCGGCAGACACCCAGTGCTTCACTAGGAGCCCAGAGGGGCATGAGGGGACAGAGGTGAGCCACATCCAGGACAACAAGGGAGCACAACAAGGGGTGCTCTCCTGTGTGGAAGCAGAAGTTGGGCCTGGTGGAGTCAGGACGGGCTGGAGCGGCGTTTTGAAGATGCATGCTGGTAGGACTTGCAGGCAGAGAACAGGCAGGGCACCGCCAGGGGGAGAGCAACATGAAGTTAGCTGTGCCCCTCCGGCTGAAGACAGATGACAAGCATTATGGGCTGAAAAATAAAGCATGATGAGGCCAATTTAGGGAAAGCCCCAAAAGCCAGGCCAAGGAGTTTGGCTGCGTACGTGTGAAGTGCTCTTGAGCAGGGCAGTCGTGTAGAATCAGCCATGTTTGAAGAGGAGGCAGGAGAGGTTGGAAAGGAGCCACCTGGAAACTTGTGATGCCAGGCCTTAACGGACTCAAGGAGTGGACCTGGGGATGGAGAGAGGGCTGGAGAAGCAAGAATAAAGAGTGTATCACGATCAGATAAACGCGTTCATCCACTGAGGGCCCCTGGCCTCTCTGGGACTCGGGTGGCATCACCACTTCGTTCAGCCCCAGGGCAAATTCCCAGTCAACTGGTCAGAGCACCCTTTCCTCCTAAAATTCTGATTCTGCAGGCCTCCTTTATCCCATGATGATCACCGTCCCTTCCTCTATCAAAGGATTCTTTTGCCAGATTTAGCGTGTGTAATGAGGCTGTGAGCTTATGAACGCCGATGCAAGTGATACATGCAGGAAACCACCAAATGGCCACCTCTACTTGGGATCTGGGATTCCGGAAACTCTCCGCTCGCCCACATCAGATCGCGATGGGCCATTCTAAAGGTGACCCATCCCCATCACATTCACTACATGTTGATTGTTCTTCATTCTCAGGGTAAGTGCAAACTTTGGGATTACCTTGCTGCAGCCCAGTCTCCTAATAGTCTGCAGGACTTGTGGCAGGAGGGAGGGTGAGTGGGAGAGAAATCTCAAAAGGCCCCAAAACTTTGAGCATGAGTGACCAGAGGAAATCAGCCCAAAGAACACGAATGCCACCCTGACATTGCTGAAACCAGCACTGGGGACAGTGCTGCGACATGCATTGCACTTCCTACGCCCTTTGTTATTCTGAGGTGGCAGCTTTGACCAACTCAAGCCAGATTGAGTTGGCAGAATTCCTGCCCAAACCCCAGTCAGGCTGGCTCCCATCCTCTCTGGAGACCTGATAACCATGCTGAAGAAACCCTGTTGTTATAAACCATGGACTTGTTTGCTTTGTGGTTTCAGACACATTTGAGGTGTGAAAGGTTTCTTTTATCTCTTTGGTCTTGTGACACCCAGCTAACATCTCAGCATCTACGAGGCAGCCATGAGGCTCCATGTTCTATGGCCTGAATTCCAGCAATGTGCTCAAGCCGGGACATGCAGTCCTCACAGAGGCACCTGCTGGGGTGCCTGGGGGTGGGGTGATGGGCCGATGGAGAGAGCTTGGGCAGGGGGACCATGGAAGGGTAGGATGAGTAAGGGATTCAGAAAAGGGAGGGAGGATAGGGCAGGCTGCCTGCTATAATAGAAGGTGTGAGCTTTGGAATTAAACCAGGGTTCAGGTCTCCGCTCAGCCGTTGACAAGCTCTGTGATCTTGGGCAAGTTACTGTCTGTGTTCCTTCCTATTCATTGGGGGAGAAGTCTACTTTGTGGGGTCGTCGTGAGCGTTAAATAAGTGAAGGGGTGTATGTGATGCCAGAGTTGGTGTGTGATCGTTAAATAGTGGCTGTGAGTGAACACCTGTTTGGGAAATGCCAAGGACTGTGCTGAGTTCACTAAATAAGACAAGTCACAACAGACACAATCACAATGCAAAGTGACAAATGCAATAAAAAGAAGGCAGAGAGAGTGACTAACTCCATCCCAGTGGAGCCACCATCTGAGAGGATTCATGAAGGGTAAAGGAATTCTCGACCAAGGGGACAGCATGTGCAAGGGTGCTGTGTTCGGTTAACAGCGAGTTTGCGGGGGCTGGAACGTGATAGCCGTGATGGGGAGGGAGGAGGGAGAGCCAGGAGGTGCCACGGGAAAGGTCAGCTGGGGTCAGGTGGCTTGGCTGGCTGTTTGAACTTTACTCCGCATGACTGGGAAGCCAACAAAGGTTTTAAAACAGCAGTGACTACATCGGGTTGGGCATTTGTGGAAGATGATACTACTCTCTCCTGAGTGCTCCTGGGTTGTTGTTCCAGGCCTTTATGCCAGGTGGTGTGTTCACTGCTTTACAATTTCATCTTTGCCATCCTTGTGACACATAGGACCTTTGGTCATCACCTTCGTGATGGTAAAGGAAATGGCAGCCTAGGGAAGCAAACTACTTTTTAAAAGAACTGGAGAAACCAGTTCTAAAAATCACAAGGTAGAGTGCCAAGGATGTCTAAGACAGTTTTGAAAAACTACAAGGAAAAACACAGGACTACAGGGAAGTCCTGTGTTCTATCAGTATCAAGACTTTAAAGATAAAGTAACTGAAGCAATGTGATAAATGGGAATAGCTAGATAGAGAAGTGAATTAGGAAACTGAATAGAACAGGGGACCGAGAAACAGACCTATGCGTATGTGGGAATATGGTAAGAGCCAGAGGAGACATGCACCCGAGTGGGGAAAGGATTGGTCCTTCAGTAAATGGTGTTGGAACAATTGGCTAGACAAATGAAAAAAAATAAATTTAGATCCCTACCTCACACCATACAGTGAAAATAAACTCGCAAATGTGTAAAATGAGTCATAAAGCTTTTAGAAGAAAATACAGAAGTAATACATCCAAGGTCACACAGGTAATAAATGGAAGAATTGTAGTCAAACCCAGGGGGTCTGACTCCAGAACCTGCCTTCTCACCCACTTAGTAGTACTCTCACCTGGTCACTTTAGAATGTAAGATGGACCACAGCAAGCGGAAACTGAAATCAGGGAGGTGGTGAATGAATTTGCATCTAGTCCCCAAACACCTGACATGAAGGGTTGCTGAGGAGGCAGAGGGAGAGACTTCCTCATGTCCTCATGTAATCACCATCACTCAGCCAACAGGTTGGGCACTGATGAGGTGCCAGCCCACTGCCAGGTGTCTGTGAGGGAGATCATCAGGAACTCCACGAATAGGTATTGAGAGTGTATGGGTAGCCATGACACTTAAGAAGGTGTGAAGAGGATAAAAATAAGGGAACAGTGGTGAATCATTATGTGGTTAGGCCTGGAAGGATTTTAGGGATCATCTAATACTCTCATTTTACAGATTGGGAAATAGGCACAGTGAGAAGGGACTTTTCACGAGTATTCGAGTTTGGAACCCTGAGCAAAGAATACATATCTCTGGCCATGCTGTAAATAACCAGCTCTTCTGGCTCTGTGGACATGAAAGTATATTTTTTAATGGTTATCCCATTCTTGGCCACCAAACTCTATCTAAGCCGGTGCCAAGTCTAAACCCACGTCCATCACTTCATCACTCACTCACTCACCATTATTTACTTGGTATTTCTTGTCCCTATCTCCTCCCCCTGCAGCCCCCCTACAGAATCCCAATCCTGAATTCACCCCTCCTATGCAAGAGCTGAGCCTGCCCAGAGAAAACCATGTCCTGTGGGGTCACTATGGGTTTATGCGTCCCCTCTAGTGGGCCTCCAGTGCCGCCCATCAATGGCTACTGACTGGCACACTGACGAATCCAAAGGCCACTTATCTTCTCCCTGATTTCACTGACCCCCTCCCTGCCACCTGCCCCCACCACCACCACAGTGTCCTGGCTACACTTCTGGTTCTCCTCCTACCCATAGCTTTCAGAGTAAAGTTCTAATACCCTAGAGTAGTACCCAATATCTTTTGTGATTTGGCCCCTGCCCACCTCTGCAGACTCATTTCTTGCCACCCACCTTGCCCTTCTTTTCCCCTGGCCTCATAGAACATTTTGCAGTTCTTCAAAGGTACCATGTACCATTGCACTGCTTCACAATTCACATGTGCTGTGCTATTCTTTGGGAAAGATGTCCAAGATCCTCTCCCCTAGGAGGAGCTGAGTGACTCCTGTGCATGCCCCCAGCCTGAAGGCGGGGAAATATCTCTGTTCTTTGCATCCAGCTGAATGGTTCAGAGCAGGTACCTGGAAATGCAGGTTGGAAGAAGCAAAGAGCCATGGCATTTGGGGATGTCCACAGCACAAAGAATGTCTGCCTAGTGTCACTCTGTTCTCTCAACAACACACACACACAGACACACACACACACACAGACAGACACACACACACAGAGACACACACACGCACACACACACACCCTTCACTTTCCCCCAGACCTGGAAGCAAATGTAGAACTACCCTCAGGGATGGGTAGAGAGAAGTTTGGAACAGGTGGAGGTGGGGGTAGTTAAGGGTGATATTCAACCAGCGTGGTGCCCACCAACAAATCAGAACAAACACCCTATTGAAGCCTGTCCTCTGAGACCCTTTCCCCAGCTTCCTCTTCTTGCCTTGAACTTGGGAGTTAGAGGGAAAGCAGGGAGGAAACCCCCAGTTCCTGCTACTCCGCTTACCTCTCAGCCCAGGATCCTGTGAACTTTCCCAGGTGGAGGGCAGGAGCTAAATGGAAGGCTGGTCACTTTCAGCACAGCCTGTGTCTGAAACAGGCAAGGAAAAGCCAAGTTAGGATTCAGACTGGAGAAGGGAGGAGTGGTTATGGGGATTTGCAGTTTGGGGGTTGGAGTCGAGGGGAATTTGTTTTACTTGGAGGGAACTTGATCTGAGGAAATTGAGTGGACCGATTATAACAGCTAATATTTGACTGTGCTTTCCAGTTTACCAAGTACTTTCCCATCAGTTCAGACAATTCCTTGAACACTTACTGCCTGTACAAGGCTAAGGGCTAAGGGCCAGGACACTGACCTTCACATCTACCCTGAGAGGCAGGTACTTTGCTCCCCAGCTCACTGTCGATGGAGCTGGAGCCTGGAGGAGACTGAAGGACAAGGGAAAGTAGATTGGGTGTGGGTAAGATTTAGAAGGTGAAGGAAAGCTGCGGGGAAGCAAATACCTTGAAGTCAGGCCTCTGGTGCTGTCAGGGGCTGGCCAGTAGGGACCCCGAAGTGGAGGGAGCCCCAAACCTCCACTCCTCAGGCTGCCAGTGATGTCACAAGGGCAGGTGCGGGAACTGTGGGGTCCCTCTCCACCTCAACCCCACTGATCTTTATCCCGGAATGGGATGAGGGCCGGCTCCACTAGGCAGCGTCTCAGAAGCTCGTTTTCCACTCCTTCCGGAGCAGCCCTCTGCTCCGCCCTCCAGAAAGAGGCCAATGGGCTTCTGGAAGGTGGAGAAGAACAGCGGAAGTAAAGGTATGGAGGTGGGAAAATGGGATGCATGCAGAAAACCAGGTAACTGCACAAAAATAAATGAGCCAATGTAAGAAAGAGCCAGGAAGAAAATACCCTCTGAAAGTGGGATTATGAGTAATTTAATTTTCTTCTTTGTGACTTTGTATGTTTTCCAACTCTTGGTAGTAATTTGTTTTTGCAATCAAAAACAATCAGATTGTTTTGTAATCCCTTACGTTTATGGAGCATGTTATTATTTACCTAATGCTTAAGCCCATAATTTTTTTTTTTTTTTGGCCATGCCTTGCGCAGCTTGCAGGATCTTAGTTCCCCGACCAGGGATTGAACCCAGCCCTTGGTAGTGAAAGCGCGGAGTCCTAACCACTGGATATCCAGAGAATCCCCCATAAATGTAATTTCTTTCAATCAACAATAATCTTATTTATGAGGTGGGCATTATTAGTTACGTTTTGGAGTCAGGGACTCAGGTTCCAAGGTGTTGAGTGACTTAGTTGAAGCCACAAGAATAGCCAGTAGTGGGCTCAGGGCACTTTGGGCCAGCCCGGCAAGGTTGAGCCTGGGCAATGTGATGGTGGCCAACAAGATTCTGCTACAGTCTTGGTTCCTTTTTCTTTGTATGTCTCCCCCTTCCCAATCCCTGGGCATTGGCCTATTGACTCACCTGTCATTAACTCCATTAACTCATTTATAAAATAAATATGCATTGATCCATATTTATTGAGTTATTCTTTACTCATCATATTTTTAAAAACTGTATTGAGGGGCTTCCCTGGTGGTGCAGTGGTTAAGCATCTGCCTGCCAATGCAGGGGACACGGGTTTGAGCCCTGGTCCAGGAAGATCCCACATGCCGCAGAGCAACTAAGCCCGTGCGCCACAACTACTGAGCCTGTGCTCTAGAGTCCGTGAGCCACAACTACTGAGCCCACATGCCACAGCTCCTGAAGCCCGCGTGCCTAGAGCCTGTGCTCTGCAACAAGAGAAGCCACTGCAACAAGAAGCCTGCACACTGCAACGAAGAGTAGCCCCCGCTCACTGCAATTAGAGAAAGCCCGCATGCAGCAATGAAGACCCAATTCAGCCAAAAATAATTTTTAAAAACTGTATTGAGCTACAATTAACATAAGCTGCACACATTTAAAGTGTACAATTTAATACATCTTGACATATGTGTTCAAATGAAACTATCATAACCAAGGTAATAGACCTATCCCTCACCCCCCAAATTTCCTTTGTGCCTCTTTGTGACCCCTCTCACCTGACCCTCACACATCCTTCTTCAGGTAAACACTAATCTGCTTTCTGTCACTATAGTTTAGTCTGCATTTTCTAGAGTTTCATATAATAGAATCATACATTAGAATTTGTGTATATTGCGAGGTATGGATTCAAGGTGATAATTTTTGCATATAGATAACCAGTTGTTCCAGTACCATTCCCTAAAAAGGCTATCCTATTCTTAGTTTGCTGTGTTTTTGGTTTTGGTTTTTTGTTTTCTTTTGTTTTGGCCACGCCCTGTGGCATGTGGGATCTTAGTTCCCCAACCAGGGATTGAAACCATGTTCCCTGCACTGGGAGCACGGATTCTTCTTTTTTTTTTTTTTATCATGAAAATGTCATTTAATGCAAGTTTCTATCAATATATACCTCCCATGCTTGATTTCCTAATAGTGTATTTTTTTTTAATAAATTTATTTAGGCTGTGTTGCGTCTTCATTTCTGTGTGAAGGCTTTCTCTAGTTGCGGCGAGTGGGGGCCACTCTTCATTGCGGTGCGCGGGCCTCTCATTGTCGCGGCCTCTCCTGTTGCGGAGCACAAGCTCCAGACGCGCAGGCCAAGTAGCTGTGGCTCACGGGCCCAGTTGCTCCCCGGCATGTAGGACCTTCCCAGACCAGGGCTCGAACCCGTGTCCCCTGCATTGGCAGGCAGATTCTCAACCACTGCGCCACCAGGGAAGCCCTATAGTGTATTTTTGTTTGTTTGTTTCATGAATGTTTGAAGATGTCTTTATCTTCATTCTTTTTTTTATCATGAAAATATCATTTAATTCAAGTTTCTATCAATATGTACCTCCCATGCTTGATTTCCTAATAGTGTATTTTTGTTTGTTTTTTGAATGTTTGAAGATGTCTTTATTTTATCTTCTTTTCTTTCTTAACATCTTTATTGGAGTATATTTGCTTTACAATGGTGTGTTAGTTTCTGCTTTATAACAAAGTGAATCAGCTATACATATACATATGTTCCCATATCTCTTCCCCCCCGTCTCCCTCCCTCCCCCCCTCCCTATACCACCCCTCTAGGTGGTCACAAAGCACCGAGCTGGTCTCCCTGTGCTATGCGGCTGCTTCCCACAAGCTATCGGTTTTACATTTGGTAGTGTACATATGTCCATGCCACTCTCTCACTTTGTCCCAGCTTACTCTTCCCACTCCCTGTGTCCTCAAGTCCATTCTCTACGTCTATGTGTTTATTCCTGTCCTGCCCCTAGGTTCTTCAGAACCTTTTTTTTTTTTTACATTCCATATATATGTGTTAGCATATGGTATTTGTTTTTCTCTTTCTGACTTACTTCACTCCTCACTCTAGGTCCATCCACCTCACTACAAATAACTCAATTTCATTTCTTTTTATGGCTGAGTAATATTCCATTGTATATATGTGCCACATCTTCTGTATCCATTCATCTGTCGATGGACACTTGGGTTGCGTCCATGTCCTGGCTATTGTAAATACGGCTGCAATGAACATTGTGGTACATGACCTTTTTGAATTATGGTTTACTCAGGGTATATGCCCAGTTATGGGATTGCTGGGTCGCATGGTAGTTCTATTTTTAGTTTTATAAGGAACCTCCATACCGTTCTCCATAGTGGCTGTATCGATTTACATTCCCACCAACAGTGCAAGAGGGTTCCCCTTTCTCCACACCCTCTCCAACATTTATTGTTTGTAGATTTTTTGATGATGGCCATTCTGACTGGTGGGAGGTGATACCTCATTGTAGTTTTGATTTGCATTTCTCTAATGATTAGTGATGTTGAGCATTCTTTCATGTGTTTGTTGGCAATCTGTATATCTTCTTTAGAGAAATGTGTATTTGGGTCTTCTGCCCATTTTTGGATTGGATTGTTTTTTTTTTATTTTGAGCTGCTTGTAAATTTTGGAGATTAATCCTTTGTCTGTTGCTTCATTTGCAAATATTTTCTCCCATTCTGGGGGTTGTCTTTTCATATTGTTTATGTTTTCCTTTGCTGTGCAAAAGATTTTAAGTTTCATTAGGTCCCATTTGTTTATTTTTGTTTTTATTTCCATTTCTCTAGGAGGTGGGTCAGACAGGATCTTGCTGTGATTTATGTCATAGAGTGTTCTGCCTATGTTTTCCTCTAAGAGTTTTATAGTGTTTGGCCTTACATTTAGGTCTTTAATCCATTTTGAGTTTACTTTTGTGTATGGTGTTAGGGAGTGTTCTAATTTCATTCTTCTACATGTAGCTGTCCAGTTTTCCCAGCACCACTTATTGAAGGGGCTGTCTTTTCTCCACTGTATATTCTTGCCTCCTTTATCAAAAATAAGGTGACCATATGTGCATGGGTTTATCTGGGCTTTCTATCCTGTTCCATTGATCTATATTTCTGTTTTTGTGCCAGTACCATACTGTCTTGATTACTGTAGCTTTGTGGTATAGTCTGAATTCCAGGAGACTGATTCCTCCAGCTCCGTTTTTCTTTCTCAAGATTGCTTTAGCTCTTCGGGGTCTTTTGTGTTTCCGTACAAATTGTGAAATTCTTTGTTCTAGTTCTATGAAAAATGCCATTGGTAGTTTGATAGGGATTGCATTGAATCTGTAGATTGCTTTGGGTAGTATAGTCATTTTCACAATGTTCATTCTTCCAATCCAAGAACATGGTATATCCTTCCATCTATTTGTATCATCTTTCATTTCTTTCATCAGTGTCTTATAGCTTTCTGCATACAGGTCTTTTGTCTCCTTAGGTAGGTTTATTCCTAGGTATTTTATTCTTTTTGTTGCAATGGTAAATGGGACTGTTTCCTTAATTTCTCTTTCAGATTTTTCATCATTAATGTATAGGAATGCAAGCGATCTCTGTGCATTAATTTTGTATACTGCTACTTTACCAAATTTATTGATTAGCTCTAGTAGTTTTCTGGTAGCATCTTTAGGATTCTTTATGTATAGTATCCTGTCATCTGCAAACAGTGACAGCTTTACTTCCTCTTTTCCCATTTGGATTCCTTTTATTTCTTTTTCTTCTCTGATTCCTGTGGCTAAAACTTCCAAAACTATGTTGCATAATAGTGGTGAGAGTGGACAGTCTTGTCTTGTTCCTGATTTTAGAGGTAATGGTTTCAGTTTTTCACCATTGAGAATGATGTTGACTGCGGGTTTGTCATATATGGCCTTTATCATGTTCAGGTAAGTTCCCCCTATGCCTACTTTCTGGAGGATTTTTATCATAAATGGGTGTTGAATTTTGTCAAAAGCGTTTTCTGCATCTATTGAGATGTTGATGTGGTTTTTCTCCTTCAATTTGTTAATATCGTTTATCACATTGATTGATTTGCGTATATTGAAGAATCCTTGCATTCCTGGGATAAACCCCACTTGATCATGGTGTATGATTCTTTTAATGTGCTGTTGGATTCTGTTTGTTAGTATTTTGTTGAGGATTTTTGCATCTATGTTCATTAGTGATATTGGCCAGTAGTTTTCTTTCTTTGTGACATCTTTGTCTGGTTTCGGAATCAGGGTGACGGTGGCCTCGTAGAATGAGTTTGGTAGTGTTCCTCCCTCTGCTATATTTTGGAAGAGTTTGAGAAGGATGGGTGTTAGCTCTTCTCTAAATGTTTGATAGAATTCACCTGTGAAGCCATCTGGTCCTGGGCTTTTGTTTGTTGGAAGATTTTTAATCACAGTCTCAATTTCAGTGCTTGTGCTTGGTCT